AAAAGTCGAAGTGATAGTTCAGTAGAATCGAATAAAGGGAGTCAAATGCCTCGGGAGGGTGTGTTGCACTCCTATTGGTGGAGGGTTGTCACATGTTGATCATAGGGTGCTTTGGAGCTCAAGACTTGTGTCATGCAAAAATAATTTTTAGATATAGAAGGCAGTACTAAATGAAAATAGCCATTTATATGAGAGAAGGTAAGTACCTGTTGGAAATGCATTTTCAGTATAGGAAAATTATAACATTCTAAACTTTGTTAAATGACTTTGCAAAGCATCTTTTATCAGACTTTCCAAAGCTTTTCCCACAACTGATGTGAGACTAATAAATCTATAATTACTGGGACAATTTTTATTATCTCCCTTTGAAAAAAGTAGAACATTAGCTAACTTCCAATCCTCTGGTACCTGTCCACTATTCAAGGACTTACAAACAATAACTACAAGTGGCTCAGAATTAAAGAATGATAAAGGCTTCTGGGCCAGATAATATTTCCACAACAGTTTTGAAGGAAGTTAAGGATTGGTTATATAACAAGCTCAAAATTAATGCAGTCATCTTGTTCAAGCTTGTTTTCACCTATCAACCGTTCAAGATAAGGAATACTACTTAAATCTTCATTAGTAAAAACTGAAGAAAAAGCAGAATTTAATAACTCAGCCACTTCATAATTATCAAATACAAGCCTTCCTTTATCATCCCACAAGGGCTCTACCCGTAACCTAATATATTTTTTTACCTTTAATATATTTAAAGACATCCTTACTGTTAATTTTTACATTTCAGCCAACCTTTCTTCATACATCTTTTTTGATGTCCTAATTTTCTGTTTAATGAACTTTCTTGATCTTCTCAATCTCCTATCATACCAGTCATTTTAAATGTTTGATGCTTTTCTTTATATTTATCTCTTATACCAACCTGGTTTTTTACTTGCAGCCACCCTTGTTTTTCTGTAAGGAATGTTTATCTTGAATATTTAAAAATTTATCTTTAAAAGTTTCCACATTTGATCAGTGTCTCCAAATCACTTAACTGCCCAGTTCGCTACAGATAAGTAATGTCACACCCATTCAGAATTTGCTTTTTTGAAATTTCCAACCAAAGTGTATTATTCCTAATCTCTATATGCAGCAAAACATCGAACCTAATAGAGCAATGATCACTTGCACCCAGATGTTCCCCAATTTCCACCCTCTCAATAATTTCTGTATTAGAAGTCAACAATAAATCTAAAATAGCATTGTTTCTAGTAGGTTCCTTGATCAAATGTTGAAGAAAACCATCTTGAATTGTTTCCAAAAACCTTTCTCTCACATGGTTTGACTCTAGCATTTCCCAATCTATATGCCCGAAATTAAAATTGCCAACAAGTATGATCTCATTAACAACTGAAATCATAATCTCACAATAAAGTTTCTCTCTAATATCATCAGTATTATCTGGTGGTCCATAATAAATTCCCATTAAAAGCCTTTTCCATTTATATCTGCTAATAAAAATCCAAATGGATTCAATCTCCTTGCTATTATCTTTGATATCCTAAACTTCAACAGGATGTAACTCACATTTTACATATAAAGCCACTCCTCCCACCCTCTTTAGTACTCTATCCCTGTTAAATAACCTATAACCTTTATTTGAAAGAAATATCTGTCATCGAAATCATTTACATTTAACCACATTTCAGTTATTCCCATTATATAAAAATCTTCCATTCCTACCAGTGCCCTAGTGTCATCTATTTTATTTATTATACTTCTAGTATTACAATAGTAACAATGAAATAGTCTCCATTCTTATTGATGATGCTTTTCCATCTTACAATCAGGTTGTTAATTCTCTGATTAAAGAAATCACTTGGCTTTGAAGCAAAAACATTTCAATGTCATTTTAAAACACCTACCACATTTACATACATATTCCCATTAAGATGTTGTTGCAGCAAATGAAAAAGATGGTAACCTGATGGTTCCATATCTGAAGAATATGGTGGGTGGGGGAGAACGTACCAATCCAACTCCATAATATTGTGTTGCATCAAATGTGTCACATGTGGACGTGCATTGTTGTGGAGAAGAAGAACACCTTTCCAATTGATGAGTGAAGGGTGTTTCTGATGAAGAACTTGATTTAAACGTTCCAGTTGCTGACTATAGATCTCTACATTGACAGTTCGCTGTGGA